TATTATTATTATTATTATTATTATTATTATTATTAGTATTATTATTATTATTATTATTATTATTATTATTATTATTATTATTATTATTATTATTATTATTATTATTATTATTATTATTATTATTATTATTATTATTATTATTATTATTATTATTATTATTATTATTATTATTATTATTATTATTATTATTATTATTATTACTACTACTACTACTATAGTTTAAGATGTCAAGTCTGGTGAAAGTAGTTGTTGGTAAATGATTTTTTAAATCTTAATAGTTCATCTTTCAACAATCACGTATACTTGATGAGTGATATTTAAAATAAAAAACGAATTACATGAGGCAAATCCTGGATTCTCACGATTCAAATTGTTGATTCAATTCGCAATTCAAATTGTCGAACCATAATCGGCCCATATTCCCTAGATCAATTCAGGGTTCGATTCTCATTTCACAGTCAATAGTTTACCAACGCGTTGGCCACGGGCCAGTCGAACTAAAGGCCTCGTCTATGCTCACGATGGAGCTAGAAAACGAGGTAAGTATAGGCCTATTTATTTAATTTATTATTTAGAGTTTATATCTATAAGACTTGTATTCATTATGGTGAAAATAATTATATACTAATTTATTGTGACTTAATTACGTAAAATTGGTGATATATTTGTGTGTTCGACATCATGTTGTTTAATCACGATTCATTATGGGTGCAGTATAATGAGGCATGATAAATGTACCTGTCATGCTTTATTAATCGTCATCATATATTATATGGTAGTATATATTTGCATTTTTATGATGTTTAAAATCATTTCAAATTCAAAGCGATTACAATGATTTTTTTTTAAAGCCAATGTAAAACATTTGGGTAAATATATTTTGCACTACTAATATTTAGTCAATGTAACATTTACTCTTTAATAAATGATTTTTACTTATGCCGGTTCTTAAATATTCTATTCTATTCTATCCAATAAAAGAAGGAATGTTTCGAAAAGTATTATTTCGGATAAATTTCATTTTTTCCTTGTATTTTGGTTTGGTATTACTTTACCCTCTTCTACTCTTGATTGCATCGATTTGCTACTGTGTACTTGAAAAATTGTCTCAATGTGGCCATCGCCGTTAGTTTTCAGACATTTGACTTTAACACTGTTTGATCTAAGCACTGAAATTACAAAAACGTTACTTCTCCCATTTTAAATACTATTAAAAAACAAAAAAAAATAATAATTAAAAATTCAAGACAATGAGAAAACATAGTCTACAACACTAACCACAATTTTTTTTATTTATTTTTTAATAATTATTTAAATTGGGAGGAGTGGTTTTTTGTAATATTTAAACTTAGATCAAACGGTGTTAAGGTCAAAGGTCTGAAAACTAACGGTTAGGGCCACATTGAGACATTTTTTCAAGTACAGGAGGCAAATTGATGCAATCGAAAGTAGAAGGAGATAAAGTAATATCAAGCCAAAGTATAAGGAGAGAAAGTAAAATTTACCCTAATTATTTATTCAATATTTAAGATAGAAGTTATATTCTCAGGATAATTAATTGGGATTGGTGGGTGTTGGTTAATTGCGAGGTCTCGTACTGGAGAGTGCATGGGCTGATCCTCGAGTTGTCTTACGGAGCTCCTTGGTCCGACATATATCAGCGGTGGCAAAAGCAGCATATTGCGCAATTGAATTTGCACGAAATAAAGGGTGGCAAAATATAATTATCGAAGGGGTTTCTAGTGCCGTTATATCAACCATTAATGGAAATACTATTGATCGGTCGACGCACGGGGTTACTATTGATGATAATCGTGGCGCAGGAAGAGAGTTCCATTACGTTTCTATTCGCCACACCAAGAGGAACAAAAGATCTTGTCCTTGCCACTAGCTGCATGGGTTTAGCTCAATTGGTTCCGAGGGTTAGTAAGTTGGTACAAAATTTTAGGATTGAGTATTGACAATCGTATAGTCTGGGAATTTCTACTCCAATGAGAGATTGGATTCTTGTGGGCACCAGACGCAAATCTGCTACCCTAATGGCCCGTCAAGTCACCATAATTTATATTTCTCCATAAAAAATATGTCGGGCCAAGAGATAAGCGACTTTGGGGGCGAGAGATTTTATCTTTGTGGTGCAAGAAGTTTACGAGTCAAATGTTTAATACAACTATTTCAACTAATGAAAGTATCCATTTATTCATTTGAACCTACGTTATTTTATTTTGTTCCAAGAATTCGAACAAAGGTTTATACCTATTCGATGTTAAATCTCGCATTGAAATTACTGACTCCCCCACACAACTCAAGATTTATCTCTCTAAAACCCTTTCAAACCATTTTCCTCTTCCTTCTTTTTTCCACACTTCAAAACTCTAAGCTTCCAAATTCGATTTTGACTATAAATCTTCACAAACTTAAACCACACTCAACATAATGTTATGTTTTAGCTAATTATTATCATTAAGTTCATGTTTAGAACAAATTTATAGTTGATTTCGGGGTTATTTATGAAGTTGTTTTTGAAAAAAATGGTGCAACATTAATTAAATACTATAAAACATTATTCAACAATTATTACATTTGAATTGGAAAAAAAAAAAAAAAAAAAATCCTAACCCATAGCGTCCAAATGGGTAGTTGACTTGTCACATACAACCTTGCGTCAGGATCTCTAAATGCAGCCCCAAATCAAATACACGATTAAAAAAACTAAAAATTTACAATTCGTAGCAAACATGAAATTAATTATACAAGTTAGCTAAAAATAGAATATTGCGTTACATGTAGTTCAAATTACTAGTCAAAAACTCAAAATCAAATTTGGAAGCCGAGGTTTTGAAGTATTTTAGAGAGATATTCTTTTTAAGTAGTATAAGTAAATTTTAGTGCAAAAATTTGACTTATTTGCTAATAATTGCTTGAGATTCAACAAAACGAATATCCACTTATAAAAGAAAAATAATTTAAAGAAAATATACAGTATTATATACTTCATAAAAGATTGTGAGTCACTTACATGGGTCAATTAGACAATTACTATATATTTAAATAGTTATAGAACAAGTCCAATTGAATTATTTGGAAACAAAAAATATACCGGTACGCAACCGAAACCAAGGGAGGAAAATTAACGGCACGAAAGAACTCCTTATTGCTAGAAATGGACACGAGCAAAGTCATCCGCGACTACATTTTGCTGGCGAAGGAAATGAACTAATTTAAGTTGTACGAACTCTTGAGAAGAACCGAACAATTCCTATACCAATATTCCAGCTCCCCGGGAAATCCGTTTACGATTAGCAATGGAGTTGACTCGTTACTCATTTCGTTTTCACTTTAAAAACATGCGAGATTAACCGTTTAAGTGCCTTAAGAACCATTAAATCCTATAATCAATCACATCTAATTTACAAAGAAGATCAATAAGTTCAAACTTCATATTGAATAAAAAGAAAATCTTACAAATCATACAACATTAAATAAATCACAGGCTAGAAAGCCGCATGCCAATCTTAATATTTGCAACTACCATGTCAAACTTTTGCCTAAACTGACGAAAATGCCCCTCACAAACTCCACGACGCATACATTTATAAAAGTTACAGCAAGGTCAGAAAAGGAACCAAATAGTAACAATTTGGTACCGGTCTATAAACCTCTAGAGCCAGGAATATCGATCCACTGCAGCTCGATTTCAACTTCGCCACACTCCACGTTTTTTAACCGGAGCATCATGCCTTGCACTACTTTACCTTCTTTCCAAATAACGGAGCTTTCCTCGGAGAGGCAATTGGTTCTAGAAGGTTGTATCTTAGTGATGATTGTGCCGTCTGGGAGGCCGTCTAGTTTCATCTTTATGGCTTCGATAAATGGTCGTATGTCGAACTCTGCTACTCCCATTTTGTCGTCCAGGCTGAACGTGTCGTGGTCGTACACTGTCTGAAAAATGTACCAAAAAGAAAAAGAAATTAGAGATATTTGTGACAAATGAAAATGGAACTCATAGATGGTAATAGATGAATCGAATGTTCTCCGACCAGAGAAATTGACTTATTTTCACGGTCAATGTGCAGATAATAACAATACGGAAGCATTTACGCAAAATTCACATTTTTTATCGTAAACGTTGACCGTAATTGTATTATTCATTAACAGTGATTATACTGTCCGACAGTAATTGTCCTGTTGTTGACAGTACACTAACGTGTGTAATTAAAGGAAGGTGGGCTGACCAGAGAAATTGTATGATTAGGATCTGCAATAGAAAGCGTCAAGTCCTCGTTCCATTCAGGATTCACGTTCTTTCTGATAACGCGCGTCTTCAATTTCTGCACCAAAAACAAAATTATAAAGTTATATATATACGATGAAATGGCAAAAATTAAAAAGCAAACATGTTCACAGCAAGTAAAATAGCCAAGATTATCGAACGAAATACACTGCACGCCCGCGGGCCCTTTCCTAGGAATTTCGGGATCCAAGGCAAACTTTATGGGTATAGTCGAAACGGGCTCCTAGTAGAGTCACTCGGGAAAATTCTTATCGAACGATGAAAATGATCCCATGTAAAAATAGTAATTTAACTCGTACATTTCCCCTTTTTCCGAGAGTAATTGATCCTTTCGCTACCGAGTGCATCAAATCGAAAACAAAAACAAAAAAAAAAATTACCAAATCGACATCATTCGATTCCATGATCAAAATTCAAAACCATGATGTGAGAAATTCAAGAAAAAAAGAAAAAAAAACTAAATTAAAAACAGCAAATGCAAAAGCTATATCAAAAGAAATAGTCAACCCCAAAATCAAGCACAGATGAACCAAAATTCAAAGAAAAAAGCAAAAGTCAACGCACTCAATTCCTTCAAGCAATCAAAGATCATCACTCATAAACACAAAAGGCCAAAACCCTTCTCAGAAAACTCATGAAATACAACACAAACACACACACGCGCGTGCACACACAAGAAGCAAGAAGAAGAAGAAGAAAACCTGTTTGCCCATCTTGATAACAACGTACGGATCGCTGCTTCGGACATCTCTTACAGCAAGATTGATACCTTTCTTGACACGAATCCTCAACAAACCCAACATATTATCCATTGATACAACAGCAGCTGGTGACATTGGTGAGTCCATTTTCGTTTCTATTTTATACTCTCAATTTTCTCAATTTATGATTATTTTAATATTTCTAACCATTTTCCCACCCACCCACACCTTTTTTTAAACTAGGGTAAATTAAATTTATGATTTTTACCACTATTTATTTGGTGGGTCTTACTTTTTGTTTTTTTTTCCTTTTCTTTAGAAGCGGAAACACACCCCTCTTTGCCGAAAGTCAAATAATCTTGATCCTCCGCTAATGCTGCACGACAAATAAGAACTTCATTCTTGGTTAATTAAAAATTCAATTTCTTGAACGAAACGTGGGGCACGAGATAGTGACGAGAAACCGCCTGCCTGTGAAAAAGACCACATTTTTTTTTATGTGGGTCCCACGAGATGATAGGGATCTTTAAGAAATATTTCCCAAATACTTTGAACCGGATCAAATCTTGATTTCAGATGATGATTATTTTTTTTAAGGGTTATTTTATTTATCAACAAGAAGAAGAACCGGTCAAGATTCAAGAAACGGATTTTTTTTTTTTTTGTGATTATAAACAATATTTTGGGAAATGATTAATAAGATAAAGGGTAAAAAAAAGGGATCTTTATGGATTAATACTTACTTTAATGGAGGGGCTCCTTTTGGGAAAATGATGTTATGATGGCATTCTATTCTGTTCTTACAAAGAACAGAGAGAAAGTGTGTGTGTTTTTTCTATGAATGTTGTGTGAATGTGAATTGTGAATGCTTGGTTAAAATATTGCAAGGATGGGATTTCCGTTTTTATTTTTCAAACTAATTACCACAAAAGAACTATTTTAATGTGACGAGTTAATTAAAAGGATTTTAATGGAAGTCGGTTATGAATTATGATAGAGATATATGTAACCGTTATGGTTTTGTCATTCAAATTTTTATATCCTATTTCTACTATCTATTGGCAATTTGTTAAACATAATTAATTAATTAAAAGAGCAATTTCAATGGAGAAATCAAATAGTAAAACTTCCACATTGTTACGGGAGCAATTGGTAGTTGTTTTAATATTCAACTTTCGGGATGCAAAAATTGCATCTTGCGAAAAGAGTTATTAAAAAATTAAATGTCGAAATAATCTATCATGAATCGACATGTGTCAGTTTTAATATATGTATACTTATATTTAAAATTTGATAAAATCAAAACTGAAACCTAAACCGAAACTTGAAACTCGAATTCCATTCAAATGTTTGTCGTTGAAGTAAATAAATATCAAAATAATGAAACTAGTATCAAATTAGTACTTGACAGTTCATTTTAATGTGTTGCCATTGAAGCTGCTCTTATAGCAGCTCCAATTCCAATGCGAGTAACAAATGAATTATCAAAACTATTTTTTTGATGTCTCAAAACTAAATAAAAAAATCCTTCAATAGGAGTATCATAATGGGTGGTTATTTTGATATTCTACATTCTTGTATGTCGAAAAGAGTTAATTGCATATAACCCCTTGTGTAATCTTGAATTGCTAAAAAAGTCCTCATGTTAAAAATATTAGCAAAGACCCCCCTATATTATATTTTATAAAGCACACTGCCCCGTATATCATATTTGATTGTTGACCTATGTGAAATGACAAAATTACCCTAATTACTAATAAAACAACCCAAAAAATAAAAAAATGAAAAATAAAATCCAAAAAGAAAAGTAAAAACAAAAATAAATATGTTCTGCTCTTCTCCCCCAGCAAAACACCTGCCCCTCCACCCTTATTCCACCCAAAACCTATCCCCAACCCAAACCCAAACAACTACTTGTCAGAGTACTATAAAGGTGTGTCTCCCGCCGTACATGTCGGAGAGCCACCCTCTACAACAACTGAAATCGTCTTCTCTACCATTAAAGGAATCGAGTTGATTTCTTCGCCAATTAGAAATAGGGAAATAATTGGCCGCATCTCAAAGCTTGCGGTATCCACCGGCGTATGTTTCCAATCAATCCGAATGCTGGCCACAAACGTCGTTGCTCCGGCGGATGAAGAGAGTTTGGACACTGCCGCTGTTGAGTGCTTCATTACCTAATTATATGATTATATCCTTATAATTTGCAGCTTTAATAACCCAAACAAAACTAATTATCGTATCTACTATACTATATACACAAAGCTTCTTTCATGATGATTTAGACAAAGTTTGGAATACACTTTTTGTTAGATTGATGAAAAAATGGGATAGGTTTTGGGTTGATTTGGTGAGAGGGTTTTTTGAAAATGTCAAGGATTAAATTGAAAAATCTAAAAACTTTATTTTGGGCTTGTGAAAAGTTTGGGGTAAATTTGTAATTTAGAGGGTATTTGTGGCTTTTCACGTCCAAAAACACATGCACACTCGCACAAACCGCGAGTGTATTACACATCGAGCTCGCAGGGTCCTTTTTGGCCTTGACTGACTTTCAGAGGGGGTTATGTGCTAATTGTTTTAACACGGGGGGGCTTTTTAGCAATTCGAGATTACACAGGGGTGAATTTTGCAAAAGACCCTGTCGAAAAAGAAATACTTGATGGAAATTGAGTTATAAAAAAAATAACTACTTAAATATTCAAATAAATTGACACATTTGACAATTAAAATTAAAACCAGCTAAAAACTTTCCATTGATAAATAATTTTATAACCATGGTTCAAGTTGATAAATATTAAATTAATATTAAAATATTATGTCAAACATAAATGAGTTCTTGATAACTCATTTTTTTCATGTTTACAATTGGAGTTGCTCAAGAGGAATTAGAGAAATATTTTCTAGACATTGTTATTCTAGCACACAACTCCAATCCACAAATATCAAACTGAATTATCAAATGGTCATTTGATATCTAGAATGATATTTAATATTTCTATAAAATTTATTTACCCTAACCATAAATACCAAATACAAATATCAAACAATTTAATATTATTTTTTAATATTAATTTTTAAAAGATCCCTTTATTTGTTGAATAATTTTGTACTTGAATTAGTAGTTGCTATTTTCTAGGATGTTTGATGACCCTTTACAAATGAAATATTAAATCAATTAATAACTCAATTGGAGGACAAAATATTAAATTTGAATAATTAAATGGAAACCAAGGGATTTTATAAATACATTAGAGTTGCTCTAAGTACTTTTTTTATTTTTCTTTTTTATCCATGGATAAAGCTACATTTGCTTCCTAATCTAAAATACTTTAGATTAAAAGCAAACGCAAATATTGAAAAAAATCAGATACATGTGCATATAACCATTTTAACGTGGTATGTATATTGAAAATTCGAATTTTTACAATAATATATATAAAACATAAAAGGTTACATGGTTTAGTGTCCATGAAAACATATTGGTTTAATTTATATTTAAGTGAATAAATTAATTGATGATTATCGGATATGATGGAGATTTTTCAATTGATTAAAAATTGGATCTCAATAATATATTATCTAGACTGTGGATGAGAGTACAACATTAATTATATTTTTTTTGAATAAATATCTTTTTATGATTGACTAAATTAATTCAAGTGTGAAATTGTAGTTTAATTGATCATGTTGGAAGTTTGACCATACCTTCTCATTTTCCTCCATGTATGAATAATTCCAAGTCAATTAAATCAGACTTATTGTTGGAGAGAGATAAGAGTTGGTTTTGGAATTATTTTTTTGGGACTTCTAGTTTAATCGAACATAATTCTAGTTTGAACCCGGAGTCCCGAAATCCCGTTCTGGAATTTTCCGAAATCTCATCCCGAACTCACCTCTACTTCTAATTGTTTTCGTGTAAAACTCTCAAATCTCATATTTATAATGCAATATTTTTTTTACCAAAGGATACACGATTTTGCTCTTTAATTTGAATAATTTAATTGTTCGAAATTAAACTATTCTCTCTTTGTGGGTTCAAGTCCAAAAAAAATTAAGTTTAATATTGAGATATTTCGGTACAATCGACTAGATAATTTGTTAAAGTAAAATGGAGATAGAAGATGCAAGAAATATGAAGAAGAAAAGGCTTTACTGCTATATTTTATTCATTGAGAAATCATTTCTAAATAGGCAAAATTACAACTTTGTACCGCTGAATGACTAAATCAAAACTAATATCCCAGAAAATAGGACAAAGTAAAACAACTAAATATTGACAAAGTCTAGGGGTGTAAGTTGGAATGAAAATTCTATTTTCCGCCGGTTTCGATATGAAAAGTTCCGATTTTGGAACAACTTTTTTCATTCCGATTTCTAAGATTTCGATTTTCGATTTTTTTCGATTTTTTTGGATTGGAATTGATATTTCCGATTTTTGGTCCGGTTTAGTTTCCGAAATTAATCCCGAATTATTATGATTTTTTCCGAAAAATACACCTATAAATAATATATATTATATTATATAAGACTTATTTTAAGTTTTTTTTTTTTTTTCTGAAACAATAATTTGATTTAAGTTTTGTTGTATGATTTTGACATATTGAGTTGTGGTTAGAAGTTTTATTGGATATTATGATGTCTTTATTTTTATTTATTTTTTTAATTGAAATTTAATAGTTATTAGTTTTACTTTTATTGATGTGGATGTTCTTATTTTCGGAAAATTAAGAAAATTTCCGCTATTGTTAGAAATTTTAAAGCTTGGCTGATTTTCGATTTTTTTTTTCTGCATTTCCAAAAATTATGGGCCATTTGGAATTTGAATGAATTTTTAGATTCCGAAATTTTTTGAATTGGAATTGATTTTGTACTTCCGAAATTTTTTGAATTTTTTTCCGAGAAGGCTAATTTCGATCCGATCAATCCGTCTTTCACCCCGAACCAAAGTCTTTCAACATTCCCTCTCTTAAACTGAAAGTTTACAAAATTTGATTCAAAGTAAAATTTTCAGCAAGGTATTGAATTCTCGAAATGACAAACGTCGAGCAACTTCCCGAGCTTGTGAAATGTAGGGAACTTGAGAAGTTCGTAAAATATCTGCAATTTGGTCTTCACTTCTACAGTACAGAAGATTGATGACTCCATCATTTGCTAAATTTCTTAAGAAATGATATTTCACATCTATATGTTGGCTTCGACCGTGTAAAATTGGATTTCTTGAAAGTTTCATTGCCAAACTATTGTCGCAATAAATTTGAACAACTCCATCTTCCCTGAGATGCAACTCTTTAAGAATTTTTTTTAGCCAAAGAGCTTGACAAGCAAACACAACCTATTGCAACAACAAATTCAGCTTCAGTAAATGATAATGTGAAAAGCATATCCAGGGGTACTCTTTTGATCGTCCAAATCTCATGCATAATCACTATATGTGAAGGCAAATAGCACCGATTTTTCACATTTCTTATTATACATCAAACCATATTCCTTCGTGCCCTGCAAGTATCTAAAAAATCTTTTTTGCAACCAAGACATGCATATTAGTAGGACATTCCATGTACCTACTCAGCATCTATAGCCTTTCTCTATTTTTGTTCTTTGACAGCTTCTTAAAAATGGCAGGGTCACAATCTGAAAAGAAAAACAAAACGTGTTAATGAATCATCATTTTGATCAATTCCAAATAAATCATAATCAGCGCTGGATTTTTTCGAACACGTCGAGACCTATGTGGTTCAGTTGTAAGTGGAGATTCGACCGCAGTTGGACTTTGATCAACTATTATAACAATTGGAGTGACTTCCACTTCTTGCTCATTTTTCATAGGTTGCCACCCTTTCACATCATTTTTAAAATATGTTGGAACATCTTCTTTAATACCAATTTGATCCCATGGCCAGGTGGTATCCTTAACAAAGACAACATAACGACTAATGACAATTTTCTTGGTGTTCGGATTATAAAGTTTATAAGCTTTCGACTCATTACTAAATCCAAGAAAAATGCATTTTTTGCCTTTGTTATTGAAAATCGGAATTTCAGAAATTGGAATGAAAAAAACTCATTCCAAAATCGAAAATTTTAGGATCAAAATTGGCGGATATAATTTGTTTTCACTATTTTAGTAACTTATAATATAAATTCGGATCGAAATAGGCGAAAATCGAAAGTTCCATTTCAATTTCACCCCTATATGCATAGATGCCATTATATTGTGTTTATGACACTAAGAATAAGAAATAAAATTTCATTTTCTCCTTATATTTCATTTTCTAAAAATCTTTGTTTTGTTTGATTTTCCTTGGAAAATTTAAATAAAAGTTCCATATTATTTGACGTCACGTGCCCTTTTGCAACTTTTTTTATTTAAATCAATCTATAAAAGAATGGCTTAATCCCACTTTGCACCTTTTGAAATAGAGGCTTTTAGCACTTCGCACCCTTGAAAAATAATAATAGCACTTTGCACCCTCAAAACACAATAAATCATTCACAATTCACCCTTAATTGAATAATAAAGGATAATTCATTTTTTATTGGTTTTTTTTATCCGCGGTGCGAAATAACAAATTAAATTGTTATTTCTTCAACCTCCAACCTAATTTCAAGCGCACAGAGTGTGAAAAAATAAAGATCACACGGGGTAATTGAAAAATATATATATTCTTTCAAAATAAAATTAAATAAACTTTTATCACTAAATTATTCGATTGCAGATCTTTTATTGTAATTGATAGAAATGTTAGATATAAGTATTTCGAAAAAAATATGATTTTCAGATAATTTGATAACGAAATAGTTGAAGGATTTTTTTGTCGTAAAATATATTTCTGTGATAACAAATATAATTTTTAAATACCAATAAAAATATTAAATTACGTTTATTAGCTTTAAAAACTCATGTAGGGTGCATTATGCATGAGTGCTATTAAGTTTTTTCGAGGGTGCAAAATGCTATTAAGTGTTTTCGAGGTTTCAAAGTACTACAATAGTATATTTTGAAGGTGCAAAGTGGGATTAAGCCATAAAAGAATTTAAATTTAATATTAAATAAAATAAAAGTTAAAACCCCATACTGTACTATACTTTCATATCTCTTCCACAACTATCATCTAAAACCCCGCAAAAACCCTAATCTGTAAAAACCCCCAAAAAGTTTATCATGTTCTGAACTTGGAATAACTAGACAACAAATTCAAAAATGGCGACTTCTAGATTATTCTCTCTCCTCGGACCCTCAATGCTCCGTAGTTCCGGAAATTTCTCTCAAATTGCCCCCCTCAAATTCAATAAAATCTGCCTTCCGCCTACACTGCGGTTCAACCGCTACACTTCCGCCGCATTGACGCTCGATTCCGATGTTCCCACTCTCACTACCGACGATTCCTCTGCAATTTCAGCTCACCCATGGCCCGAATGGATTAATTTCGTCGATAGATTGAAGGACAAAGGCTACCTTACTCTAAAAGCCGCCGCCGCCGTGGAAAACGCCGGCAGCAGTGGTGGTGTTGTTTACACGGATATGAAGTTGGTAAAGGACGCTTGTTTGAGCTTCGCACGTGACCGTTTCGACATTTTCAAGTATTGCCATTGCTGCACCTTATCGCATTTTCTGTTTACCAATATCAGATAATTTATATTTTTTATCCGTTGGCCTCGTTTGTTTGGGTAGATTAGCCATGATTAACTAAAATAATTGGACTTTATTTGATGTTTGGTATCCTGAATAATTTGCCGGGTCGACCTGCAAATATTATGTTATCATGTCTTATCTTATGTCTTATCTTACTTTATAGGCATGTATTTTATTGGATCATCGAAGGTCCAATAATATAATTGTGTTTCATTAGATTATTTAATTTTATCTTGGCTAATCATATCTGGGTAACCAAACGAGGCCTTGGAAGATATATCCAAGGAAAGCATAGTTAAATAATTAAATTCATGATGTTTTGTGCTGGTATATGCTGGAAATTTCTGGAAATTACTAATGTATTTGATTTTTATAGTGTGGGTCGAACAGAGAATCATAGATCTAATAAGTACTAAATCTGATTTGTGTTATCCATACTTTGATTTTTTTTTTTTGGAGTAAAAGATGATGAAAACTGGAAATATAAAATATATGTTTTTGCTTGTTAAAGATTTATGATTTTTAATCTGCGAGGGAATTTGTGTTCGATGTTATGGTTGCGAAGTACTGTGCTAAATCGTAGGTCAAGTAAATTCGTCAGTCTGATTTCAAGAGTTTTAATATTACGTTGCAGGTCATTGTCCAAACAAGATATCCAAACAATTGTAGAGAAAGGTTGTCCTAATCTCTTCCGAAAGACAGTTAACTCGGGGAAAAGGTTGAGAGCATATGTAGAACTTGATGAAGGAGATGTATGTTTATCTTCCATTTCGTGTACAATTTATTTATCATTTGTGAACAAATGGCTTACACACTTCCGAAAATTTATTTATCGCCTGGTTGATTAACGGCAGGTTTGTGGTTCTTGCGATCTTCGTGGGTCATGTGATAGAGCATATGTTATGTTAACCGAGTCTGAAGCTGCTTCACGTACAGTAGATGTAGTTCGTATGTTGTTATTCTATGCGTTGGATCCTATTGTTATATCTGGAGAGAGTAAGCCTCCAGGTAGAGAGCTCGTTGAATCATCTGCAAGGAAATTACTGTTGGAGTTGATTGAGCTTGGTGAGACAACTCTTGACCCCAATCTTCCCCAACCTGCTCCCACAAATTCTCGAAGAACGAAGCAGCTTCTTGATTTATCGGACAATGAAAGCTCAAAAAGGGGTGATGTGAAACCAGGAGATTGGGTGTGTACCAAGTAAGGGAACAAAACGTGTTATATTCTTTTTGGTAGCTCCTAATTTTGCTTTGGAGTGATTATGCACATTTTTAATTCTAATCGAACTGTTTCATAGTCTCTGTTGTATTTATTTCATAAACACATATGCAACATCATGCATTTACTTGTGACGCCTAATATTCTGATGATACTGACGTTCTGGTATTATCTATTGATTGGCTATATATCATCGTCTGGTACTATTGCTTGAAAACCGGCTGATTTCTTTTATAAAATGGCTTGATAGGTGCAACTTTAGGAACTTTGCAAGAAATGGAAAATGCCGTGATTGTGGAAATAATGCACCAAGAGCTGTCGGGAGTGATGTGGAAATGAAAAAGGGAGACTGGATCTGTCAGGGGTAATTTTTTATCTACCATGAACATACTTTTTAGTTAATTTTTCTGTAAATGTTATAAAGATATCTGTCTAGTACATATTGTTGTAGAAGAAGAGCATGATTGTCTGTAATTAAATTAAGCTCTTACAGTAGTCAATTGAATTAAGCTCTATTCTGGACCTCCCATTTTGGCCTTCAAACCAGGTGCTTGGTCTGGAAGTTAGAAACCTGTTGATGCATCATGGGCTTTTTCGTAAGTGCCAAAAGTTGGCGTATGAGATTGATATTTTGGTGCAGAAGGGCTTGATCTTATGAAAACGGATACCATTTGGAAACCCGTGACTATTGGGTTCTACACGTAAATTCTTTATATCAGGATTAGCTTTAGACATCAATTTCTGGTCACTTGTACTATACTGCCTCAGCTCTTCATTACGAAAGATAAAGTTAAATAATGAATACAGAAAGATGATCTATGAGACGGACTGTGAAGTGCTTCGTTTTGTAAATCGAGCAAGTTCTCACTGATGGCTCGGCTCCCCGGAAGGAAGCCTTATGCATTAGGTTTAGAAGTTAAAATAGTCACTATTTTTCCTAGTTTCAACCCGATCAAACTGAAAATCAATCACATTGGCTATCTAGTTTTTGTCGGCATCATTGGTCTTTCACTTTCCTCATGTGCATGAAGTCTGTCTGTAAATATGATTCTATGTAATCTTTTGCTTTTTTACCTCACTTGCATAGTTATAATTGTCAAGAAGTCATTCCATTAGTTGCATTAATTGTTAGCTATTTTGAAATTTCTAGAACACAAATAGAACTTTCATTTCTTTTCATATCAAACCTGTTCAACTTCTTGCCAATACATCGTTTGATCGGTAAGCTTCGTCGTTCAATACATCTCTTGCTTTTGCATTTACCCAATAAGTTTTTTGTTACTTATTTTTGGCTTTGGTATTATGTCAAGTGTAAGATGATGAATATCCATATTATATTGTAGGTGCAATTTCATGAATTTTGCCAAAAATACAACATGTCTGAGATGTAAAGGCAAGGGCCCTGAGAGCGCATCTGGTGATCGATCTGAAAAGAAAAAGGGAGATTGGGACTGCCTTCAGTAAGTTCCCTATATTTCCTGCCGCTGTTTTTGACGTATGGATTTCATAACTGATCGTTTGATTTGCAAATCGCGTCTTATACGTGTTCACTTGAATTTTTCCCATACTACAAACTCAATCTGGTGATTCTGTTTATACCTCCCTACATATTTGCTGTCACTTTAATCAATAAAATTGTATTGGGGGTTAGATTGATTTTAACATGGACAGGCATCGAAAAACAATCCAGTGAAAAATGCCTGTCTGTTTCAAGAATATGTCATGTCTTAAAAAGGTATCTGTCTTTTTATGTTTCCGAAAAAAAAAATCTTGGATCATCTCAAAATGTCTCCACCTTAATCTAGGAATAGTGCTAACCATATATACGGCTGACATATCACAAGGAAAGGAACACTGATTGTGAAATAACCCTCTTAAGAACCCTATAATTGGCATTCCAATATAAGATAGCAACGTCACTTGAAATATATAACAAATAAATTTCTATATCCCAATAAATTTCCGACGTAACCCATTTTTTTAAAATTAAAATAGATAACCAAATGAACCAAAACCCACCATTCTCCTACGATGCAGACCAGTTCACTTTAGTTGCATGGGCAGTGAGACCGCGTGCTTTAGGCATAGTGGCAACAGAGATTTTCAGAAGGATATTCTTTCAATTGGATTACCGTTTTCAAATCAAGTAAATAGATAGAATAAGCATATAATTTTGGAGTTTACTTTTAGGATCACAAAAGATTGAGTTATATACAAGATTACAGTGCCTTGAATTATCCTATTATTTTCGCTGGATATTTTAAGTTCATAGCAGGTTCAGAATTCTTTTGGTCAGAGGTTCTGAATCTTTAATGGCCATTAAAATGGTTTTTCAAGCCTGAATTTGCTTTCTAATTGACTACAAGATGGATTTTAAGTCAAACACGACTTATATTGGAAGATTGACATTTCAAGCTTGTTCCGAAATAGCTAGAATGGAACTGAAAAGTTATGGAGAAGCAACATTAATATCTAATTGGGTCGACGAGGACTCGGTAGATTTGGCTCACTAGAATGTTTTTGTCTTGTCTTGTCGTATCAGAAAACCGAAGGTGGTTTTTGTCTTGTGTTGAAGGTTTCTAAAATCGATGAACACAACGATCTAGAATTTGACCAAGTCCCAGAAATGAAGCCATTCAATTGTTTTGTCGTTTATAAAAGAAGAAGATAAGCAGGGCGATATTAACCCAATCAAGAGAAAGGAAGCAAAAATTAAACAAACTTTATATTGACTTTGGTAGTTGAAGAATATTCATGCTCCCGTTTTCTTGGAATTTTTTTTTCTAATTATTTAATTTGCTGGCTTTGACATGATATCTTGTCCTTTAGGTGTTCGTTTATGAATTTTGCAAGCAACAAGCAGTGTGTACGCTGCCAAGAGCCTCGGCCCCAGAGGCAACTAAGACCCGGGGATTGGGAGTGCTCCAAGTAAGTCCATTTACACAAGGCTTTTTTTTTTTTGTTGCAAATTTATTTAACTTGGTACAGTTTATGTTATAGCGAATTAAATTATTTCCGTATTTTGCAGATGTGATTTCTTGAATTTTAGTCGGAATACTGCTTGCAAGAAATGCAATAATAATCGACCAATGGAGTCTTCGGTACAGAATGATGAGCAAACTTGGAGGAGGCCTTACTAAGCCTACTTTAATCTATAAAAGGTTTATCTATCTGACTTGGTTTTTGATATGATTTATTTGGGTAAACATTTAAAGCTGACTTTATTATCTTGAATTCGTAAAGACGAAAAACGGAAGTGATAGTGTTGTCGTGTGTAAGAACATACTTCCATCGGTTATTTTCAACATCTTTACGAGCAGTTGCATGGCAGAGGTATCATAATAAATTTTATTGAAATATTTGATCATCGTTTAATGTATTTATCTGCACTTAAATCTCGTCGAATAACATCTGCTCAGTTTTAGACATTTCCTGTATTTATCTTTTGTCTGTAGTCTCACGTACATACATTTCAACTGTACTATGTAATTAATTTTAAGCAATATTTCATATTCTGATAAGCATTGTAAATTATAGAAAATTGGAAAAACTCCTTTTTCAGAGCATCTCCGATCGGTTTCTATATAGCCATTTTTTCATCTAATTTAGGGTTTTTTAGCTCTCACTAGAAATTCCTATATCACCATTACACCCAAAATTATGGAGATTTGGTTTTAGCCTTCCACCGTGGTCGACCTCATATCACCATATATTCAAATCTTATTTTTCCACCAAATTTTTTTTAAGGAATTTTCATCTCCTATCGGTTCACCATTTTCCTATTTTTTCTACAAAATCCTATTCTTCCTACCAAATATAGAGGTGAAAATAGGATTTAGTGTAATTAACACCATTTTATTTTTATTTAATTTTTTTTTTGGCATATAAAATGACGATTTTAACTAATTGCACCTGATTACCAACTTATTAGCATATTTATCATAAATACATTGGTGTTGATTACTAAATTAGTTTTTAAAATGTTATTACATTTGTTATTATTAATAAAAACATTATTTCTAATTATATACATATGCTTATTTTTAATTAATTTGTATATTTTTTTGGTATCAATGTTGATTAGTTCATTTCTTTATTTACCTAATGCGCTAATTGCTATTAATAAAATATAATAAGCAGCAATAGAATGATTAACGAAACACACTTTAATTGATGAAATACAGAGGATGAGACATTTAAATTGAAATACATAGCTCATAAAACAACAAACAACATAACATGATAACAAAATATAATAACCTATAACACAAATTATATAAATTTAAATTCTCATGAACTGCTTATTTAAATTCTCATGACATACTTAATAGTCTCTATTGTCATAGTTGTTGTCGTTCGGAGATTCCGAGATATAAACCTCTTCATCAATTCTTCCACTTCCCCCTGCCTTAAAATTTAAATTCCTAGCAGCTCTTGACCTGTTTCCATTGTCAATAATTTCTTGTTTTTTATCACTCCAAAATTGTTTGCTATAGGATGTGAGATTACTGAAATCCTTACTCATAATACCCATATCATGTTTAACAACCTTTAATTTTATTTTTCTTTCTTTCATGTATATTTTTGTTGTTTAATGCTCACCAATAAATCACATAGTTAGAATATGATAGTTGAGTAAGAATGTAGTGGGATATACAAATTTATTACTTAACATTGGATCTACAATTAATATTTATGAAATAAAATATAATAAAATTACGATTAACATTAGATTTATAGTTTTGAGGAATATATGATGAAATGCCATGGGAGACCAAACCAAATTACATTTCCTATAAGTGGTAAAATATTATTATTTTAATATTTGGTCTAAAATTTGGTGAAACCCATTGGAGACCAAAGATACAATTTTTCCACCAAAAATGGTGGAAGGGTAAAATGGTGTGCTACCGGTGGGAGATGAAGCCGTTTTTTCACCAAAAAAAAATGGGATTCGGTGAAAAAATGATGAAACCGGCTGGAGATGTTCTTATGTTTTCTCCTAACTTCTAGTTATTTTAAATTAGGGATGACAACATGTCGGTTCTGGGCTGGGTTTGCTTAAACCTGCGACCCGACCAGTGAAAAATATATAAAACTCAGAACCGCCCCAACCTGATTCTGCTTAGACCCAGACCCGCCCCAACCCATACCCAATTAAACGATTCTGACCCGTCAGACCCGCTAGACCCGAATATAAAAAAGTTTATTATTTTTTAACTTTCATAATAATTTGCTTCTATATTTTAACAAAATAATCTAAAAATTAAAATACAATATTTTAAAATACTTCTACAAGTGATATAAAGTGAATAATAAAATTATGTAATTAATTATATTTAACTTCTACTAAAAGTAAAGTTCAAAAGGCATGACGGCTAGCGGTGGTCTACAGGTGATAGATTTTACTTACGAGAAATGAGATTAAAAAAAATGAAATGGTGAAAAATGGTAAGTGAGAATAGCCACAATGAAAATTGAAGATTTGATAAAGGAAATCCTAAATTAATTTTTATATATAGATTAACTATAAAATATAATATATTTACACGGGTCGGCTCTTGGTCGGTTTTCAATAAGACCCGTAATCCGACCCAGAACCATCCGCTTCTAGAAACTTAAATCCATTACCCGGCCAAGACCCGCCCCAAACAGATCGGTTCTGGGTCTAAGACCCGGCAAATCCGTACCCATTGTCATCCCTATGCTAAATGCATTCTTAATCTGTGTGAAACCCGTTGAAATGACAAGTAATTAGGGATAGAGGGGGGTTTTGAGATCCTACACCGGGTGAAATACACTTGGTAGATCTTTATCATTCATACACACACAAACACACACACACCCACATTGGTATGTGTAGATCAACGGTAAAAAATCATCCGGTGTAACATTTACCGTGTGTAGGATAGATAAAACCGATAGAGGGAGTACGTATAAGAAGAATTTCATTAATTGCTTACTTCACCTGTCCCTAGTTACTTGTGGTTTCAAATGGGATTTATTTGTCGCAAATTATATGTTTTTCCTCTCTTCTAATGGAGCATTATTTATTGGTTTTCCCTATTTACCCTTATCAAGTTCTCCAACATTAATGAAATACCTATTTTCCTCTCTTATTAATACTCCAACGATGAACTGAAATTTGAAGAAAATTAGAAGATACCAAAACCCTCTTCACATTCTACGTTGAAATCAAAGAGTTTTAGCTGGGAACTATCAGATTATGGCCTAAAATAATGGAGAAAATAAAATGAAACATTAGGTGAATTCTAGATTTGAAATTGTTGATGCTCATGAAATTATAGATTCAAAATAGCTTATTAGAGAGAAACAAAAACAAAAAAATAAAAAAAATACTCCATTTGCAAAAGAAGGGAAGTATCATAAAGTCAAAATCCTCTCTTTTTCTTCAATTCTTTGTTCAATTTGTACAAAAGAGATGACTTAAGTGTCATTAATCAGAGCCCCAAATTCTACAACTAAAATTCTATGTTCCTTTTCCACCTTGTGAAAACCCCCCCACCTTTCTATTTTACAACATGCTTGAAGCAAAAACAAAAAAAAAAAAAGAGGCTACTCTTTAACCAATCAAACAAACACCTATACATCTTCCTGCAAAAGAATCCTTCCTTTGGGTTCGGTGAGTGAGTGAGTGAAGACACGTCCTACGATGTTTCCCTTTTTGCACAACAAAAATTATACTTTGTCTAGAATTGCAGCCGGCCAGCTGGCATCATCGGTTCAGGTGGGGCCAAGTCAGCGGCTACAGGAGGCTGTCTTCTTTGCCGGTCACGTAGAAAAAGAACCGTAAAGAGGCAAGCCAACAGTGTTAGAATCGTCGCATTTCCTTCCTCCAATAGTACATTTTCCACCCAATCCTCCACTTTTGGATAAACTTCAGGTAGCGAATCAATCATATCAACCTAACGAACGAAGTCATCCATTAAGTTGAGATAATATATCATTAGGAAAAGGTCATCAATTAAGTAGAAATAATATACCAACGAAGGAAAAGAAATATGCTGTGTATTTACACATACACATAGGCATGTGTCTCAGTAGATATTTAAGAATGTTGTATATAACAATACAGAGTTTTTATTCTTTTATCATCCGTTATTCTCAATTTAAACAAACTACCAAGTGATTACAACAATTAAGAGTACCAGTTCGCCACATGCATGCAGAAAAAAGAAGGCGCAACCTAGCTAATGCATTCTTATTAAACCATAGGACTACATTTCATTCTGTCAAACTAATACGTAAAAAAGACAAAAAAATCAACCCGGACTCAATCGAGGGGATGTTCGTAGAAAAGAGTGTTATGCCAATATCTGTTTGGCATGAGAGAGGTTTCTTTCTTGCATCAAATTTCGACGTTCATAAGAATCAAACTATCGGTTTAAGGTCCTGCCTAGAATAGATGATTTTTTTTGACGATTTCCAAAATTTACTTTTAATTGTTTTAATCACTGAGTAATGTCGTAAAGTTGAGAATAACAACAAGAAGATGGACTCACAAGGAAACTGTTGGCATAATTTCTTCGTATCCATAGGCTGCCAAGGGCTAGAGATACAGGTAATTTTGCAGCAGGGTCAACTTCCAAGGCTTGGTCATAGTAACGCTTGGCAAGGTGTAGATCCAAAGGTAGACCCTGCCCATGCTCATGCATATATCCAAGATTGAACATGGCTTGAGCATTGGACTGAGATTTAGCATGCATATAGGCTTCGGCTGCACGATCAAAATCCCGTTCTGTACCCTGCAGAGTAGATAGCAAGGCACATAATTGTAGATCAAACCCTCAACAAGAATGTCTTGAAATAACCAAGAAAGATTATTACCAAGAAAACATTAACATACCCGACCGTAGTAATATGCATCCCCTATAAGCAGAGCAGCATGTTCGTTACCCTGCTCAGAAGCTTTCCACCACAAGGCGTGTGCACGTTGATGCCTTTCAGCGTCAGTACAGAGTCCAGACTCCCCCATGCACATACTATGTTCCTCGTATTTGTCGAGAATCCAAGCAGCATTACTTTGTGCCACCTCATACCCTATCTCCGCCATTCTCGAGTACAAAAGGAATGCCTTGCCTATATCACCTTTTAGATATGACTCTAGTGCCCATCTAGACAAAGAACTCCATGGTCCACGCTCTGCAACTAGTTTATATAACGCTGTTGCCTAAAGCCACCAAGGATTTTGTACATCAAATTACAATTCATAAAAACAAATGGAAAGATAACAGTGCAATAAAAAGGTAACAAAAAAGAATCTAAATAAGTAATCAAATGGACTGCTCGGTAACAAAGCAAAAACACGAACATGTTGTCAAGTTGTTCATACAGAGAGTGAGCTAAAAAGAGAGACATAATCTAGTCTTTCAGAAGAGACATTACTCAAGTAAAAGTTAGACGTACCATTTGCAGATTCTTCTTGAGGCCCACACCAGTATGAAACATTTTTGCTAATTGGTAGAATGCTTTTGGTTGACCTGCATTAGCAGCAAGTGCAAAGTACTTGGTTGCTATTTTCAAATCCCGTTTCACCCCTAGACCCTTTAGATACATCACCCCAAGGTTGTAGAATCCACCAGCTTCTTCATTTTCGGCAGCTTTCTCAAAGTACTCCTTTGCCTGAAGTTAACATTGCAAAAAGAAAAAAAAAAAATCAGAAATTAACATTGCCCATACAGTGGATTTGGAACGTAGAAAAATACGGAAGAAAATGACTACTGGAACGTGAAAAACAGTACACGCATATATTAGAATTTAGTTAATAAAGAACCGTAAGTGGACCCTAGGGTAGGAGGAAAATGCAGGGTATAAGAGGAGAGGATACGAGCCAAGAAAAGAAAAAAAATATACCTTTGTGTAGTTCTTTTTCTCCACTCCATAACCCTTAACATATAAATATCCCATGCCATTGTACGCTGAATAAAGTTGTTGTCTTGATGCAAGCGTAAGCCATTCTAGAGCCTTAGAATAGTTCCTTTCAACCCCAGCACCTCGTGCATATATCTCTCCAAGAAGTTCCATTGACCTAGGCTCACCCTTCTCTACTGCCTTTGAGAACCACCGTAATGCCTTAGCATGATCGCGTCTCACACCTCTCAAACCAAAGTAATAAAATATTCCAATTTTATACATAGCTCCTGCGTTGCCTTTTTGTGCCTGGTATTCCAAAATCTGGAAATCCTCATCCTCCTCTCCTCTGGACTTTCTGAGAGCTTCTTTGTTTTCCTCGGCGCCATTGTGGATTCTAATTGGTTCAATCACAGGTGAGTCTTTCGAGATGAGAAAACTGTTCACTGCTACCTCTGCCAATTCAGCATACAGCTTAACTGCTTTGTCATGCATCTGCACCAAAATAAAAATGGATCAACAACATAATCGATAGGTACAAAAATTGCTCGTTGATGAGATTGCCCTACTCAAAAAAAAAAAAAAAATGCCACCCTAACTCAAGGAACAGTCACTAAATGGAAAGAAGTCGAATGCATCTCTAAGTACTTATAGTTTGATGATTTTGGAGATTATGCTAAAACTGAGGAAGTTTTTAGGATGAAGTAGTGAAACTATTATCGTGATTGAAGTGCTAAAATTCATGGAATTCATCGCGTAGAATCATATATATATTTTATAACCTACAGATTTAAAAACACACTTAGTGTAGCCTAATTAAAATGAGGCACATATGTGCTGCTGCCTTGTACTTAGTCTTCTCATGGTATTTTGTGCCTTGATACACTTTGTCATTTAGCTTTTGTATAGAACAATCGAGGATATGCATCTTTTTTCAGCAAAAGTCCTTGTTCTCCAATTGAATCACACTCCACTCTAATAATCACATTTTAAAAGTGTAGGATTTCATAATTCCGTGATAAAAATTCCCTAACGGGAACCGAGGAACCTAATACTGGCTTCTAAACCAAGTGCTATGAACACAACCAAATCAATTTTCAGTTTCCATAAAAAAGAAGAGCTACTTATAATGCTTCTTTAAACCAAGCGATACGAGCACCAACTAAATTCACTATTTCCAAAAGATGGTCCTTTTGTATCCAGCAACATGAATAAATAAGTCCAGACACCGGTTTTTCTAGCAGACAAAAATCCTAACCGAAAGAGTATTGTTGGATTAGAATTTAGAACAGAGAACAATTTATAGAGGTTACAAGTTTCCCTTTTCGTTCCAGATACTTCCGTAATGGTACTGCCATTGAATTTCCAACTTCAAAATGTATTCCTCCCTAAGTTACACCATCCTCTAAACCCATCACAGTTTCTAACATTAAAACTGAAAATGAACAGAAACGACTGCTAAAACAAAATTTAAGGGTACAGATTCAACACACACATCAAATTATCTCAACTTTATGCATATATCAATTCACAAAATAGTTAAATAAACTCCAAGTTAGAAAAGAACTTACTTCTTGTCGATAGTAAGTGTATGCTAAGGCCATCTTCGACTGCATATTCCCACCCTGCGCCGCGAAATGGTGATGCAAAAACGCCTTACCCTCGTTCCTCTCCCTTCCAATCCCCATACTGTAGAAAAACCCCATCACCGACTGCCCGTGCGGCTGGCCCAGCGCGGCAGCCGCCTCGATCTCCGACGCCGCCTCCTCCATAATCCTGAATTCCCCTCTACTGGACGCCTCCACCATCCTACTCACCCCGTTGTAGTAAATCGCCTCGTCGTCGTCGTCGTTAGGGTTAGGGCTTTTGAAACTCGGATCGGGCTCGAAGAGTGGGGACCACGACCCAGGGTCGAGTATTGAGTCCGGCTTGGACTCGGAATCCGGGAAGTCATCGAAATCGGCGACGTCGTCGGCGGCGGCGGCGGGGTAATTGGGGGCGGCGGCGGGGTCAGAGAGATCGTCCTGGGAGAGGACGAGCACGAAGGGGCGAGCGCGCGTGGTGAGAGGTAGGAGGGAGAGAAGCAGGAGAGCGCAGCTCAGATGCTGGATTTTCCGGTGTACCATCGCCGGCGGCCGATCGGTACTGTGGTATCTCAATTTTATTCCGTTCGGGACAAATTTCGACGGAAGTGGTGGTAAAATAAATATAATTGGGCGTAATTGTTTTTGCCACGTTATTGATGTTCGTGTCCACCAATGGGAATTTGCCACGTAATCAGATGCTCGTACTTGGAGCTTTACGCAGGATGAAAATAAAAAATACAAATGGTAATGTTCTTAAGCCCAAGTCAACGGAGCAAGTAAATTGTCTCCAAAGTTAGTTTTCTTAAAAATATGATTGCACATCAAGGAATTCTATAAATTTGAGTGTTTATAATATGTGTTGAATTATTTTGTATAGTAATTTGATTAGAGACTTAATTTTATAAAGGGTAAATAGCACTTAACCCCTTGTGGTTTATACATTTTGCACATGATCCTTTTATGGTATGAATTTATGCACATAACTTCTTGTGGTTTTGACATTTTGCACATGACCCCCTTATGATACGAAATTAGGCACATAGCCCTCTTGTGGTTTTGAAATTTTGCATATAGCCCCCTTATGGTATGAAATTAGCACATAACCCCCTTAAATAGAAAACTGAAAAAGACTACATTAACCCTATCAAGTCAAAAATTGTTGTTTTAATTTAAAAATAATTATTCTATAAAATAAAAAACTTAATGTATTTTTTGTAAAATGACAAATATAATATATTATTGTGTTTTTTTTTTAATTTTACAGCACAAATGGTATAAAATTCTAGTTATTGCATGATTGACAATTTATTCAATTTTAAAAATCAATTTGAAAATCTTTAACATTATCATTAATTATGATTATTATATTACTATTTTCTATATAATATATTATATTATAGCTGTTATCGAACTTTAATTTTTTTAAGAAACAAAGTATTTATTTATTTTTTATTCTTTTGGAAAAATCTAAAAAAAACATTGCTCTAAAGTTGAAATGAAAATTAAATTTTTAAAAAAATATATGTGCGGTAAAATAGAAAAAACACAATATATTATATTTTTCATTTTACAAAAAGTACATTAAGCTTTTCATTTTATAGAATAATTATTTTTAAATTAAAACAAGAAGTTTTGAGTTTTGACTTGATAGGGGTAATTTCATCTTTTTCAGTTTTCTATTCAATGGGGTTATGTGCTAATTTCATACCATAAGGGGTCATGTGCAAAATTTCAAAACCACAAGAGGGTTATATGCCTAATTTCATACAATAAGGGGGTCATGTGCAAAATGTCAAAACTACAAGAGGGTTATGTGCCTAAATTCATACCATAAGGGGGTCATGTGCAAAATGTCCAAACCACAAGGGGGTTAAGTGCTATTTACCCTTTTATAAAATGACCTTTTAGATGATTTAAATTTACCTCGAACAATCGTACTTTTTAAAATACACATTTCGATTAAAAAAAAAGAGGAGAACCTGAAAGGATACGTTATAACATACTTGATGATGCTACTAGAACTAGATCATCTAAAGTAGTTGAAGTATGATGAGTTGGGAGAGCAAATAGGATCACTTGCTCACGTGCTTGATGATCTCGAGACTCGTGCTTGATGAGCTTGAGAGTCTTGATGATCTTGAGACTCCTGCGAACAGAATACACGGAAACTAAGTTGGGAGTTGATCCGGCAAAAATTCCTCCGACGCTCAAGTTAGGTGTGCGGATAACAAAAGTCGTAGAGAGAATACGAGCAGTGTATAGTTTGAATATTGAACGTACCTTAAGGAGTGAGTTTTTTTTTTTTTTTTTTTTTTTTTTTTTTTTTTTTTTCTTTGAGTAAATTCAAGTTCATTACAAGGGGAAATAGGGGAGGGGTGGACTCGAACCCTATACCGTTACCCTATTGGTAAAGGATAGGTACCAACTCTCCTAATGAGGGTTGGTTTAAGGAATGAGTTAAAACCTTTATTTATACGTCGTTGATTGGGGTAAAGTTTACTTAGTTGAGATTGTCGGGCTCAAACCTTATTTGAAGGTCACTGGACATCGGTGGTAGTGGTCTTTTCAATATTGGGCTTGTGCCCAGTAGGTAAAGAAATTGTAGGCTCATTTCTACCATAGCAACGATAATTAACGATAACTTTAGCCACATTCATTAGCAACATACACGTTTCATATTAGCGATGGACTAGTCCGTGACAACCGTAGCGATGGAGTGTAGCGACGATCATTATTATTTGTTGCCACGTGTAGCGACGACATTTCAACAAGTCGCAACTAAAATTAAGCGACACGACTTTTTTCTTCGGAATTGGCAACACACGATATATGTCGTTAATCACGAGTTACCGACGGATTTATATTGTTTAGCGATGGATGGTGTCGTAGCTAATAGGCGATTTTCTAGCAGTATATATATATATATATATATATATATATATATATATATATATATATATATATATATGTATATATAATCCCTAAACTACAAGAAATTATGAAATAACTTGGTAAAATCACATATTGACTGCGGTAAATTCAGCTCAAAATCAAGAAAATAAGGGTAACGGAAATCAAATTAAAACTTCATTCAAAAATCCTAACTAAATATTCAAGCAACACACATGTTCATAGGTGATGATGCTAAAGGTAGATCACCTTAGAGTGTTGAAGTAGGATGAGCTGGAAGAGCAGAGTGGATCACTGGCTCACGAGCTTGATGACCTTGAGATACCTGCAATCATAGAACACGTGAACTAAGCCGGGGGTTGATCCGGCGGAAACCCCTCCGACGCTCAAGTCAGACGTGTTGATCATAGAAATAGTCTAGAGAATACAATTAATAGTATTGCTCAGATAATAGGACGTACCTCAAGGAATGGATTCAAACCTTTATTTATAGCTTAGTTGAGATTGTCGGGCCCAAACCTTACTTGAAGGTGATTGGGCCTCGGTGATAGTGGTCTTAAATATTGGGTTCGTGGCCCATTAGATAAAGAAATTGTAGGCCCATTGGGTTCGCCCAATTAGGCATATCATTAAGCCCCCCACTCTCGAGTCAATGTGGGGGCTGATAAGTGTTCATTTTGCATGATTTTCACTTATCAATTCTTCAAGTTTTGGTCTTCGTTCGTACGAGTTTTCGGCTTTATTTGTTTATATTATGCGTTTCTTGTTTTATTTATATTTTCAGGTTTTGTTAGCTATTTTTGCCGATTCGAAACGATTTTGAAAGCGAAGCCGAGAATCAAGTCAAACAAGAGCAAAAATTGCAATCAAGTAGATGGTGGAAGCGTTCGGTATTTTATGCATAACTTCTTCATACGACCTCCGATTGACCTGATTCAAATGGATTTAGAAAGCCAACTGCAAGGGCTACAACTTTTGTGAAATGCAAAATTGTCAAATTCGGGCTACAAAAGGGTCAAAACATAGTTTGAAGTTATTGCAGCGACCATATCGCGATATTACCTTCCATATCGCGATATGGGAGAAAACGAAACAGAGAGCTTTGCATTTTTGCCATATCGCGCGATATGCCATTCCATATCGCGATATGGGGAGAAACGAAACAGAGAGCTTGCAATTTTACCATATCGCCCGATATTGCCGCTCATATCGCGATATGGGCCTTGGGATGCGTAAAAAATATCTTAAAAGGCAAAGCATACTATAAATAGATCCCTTGTGTCATTTAACAAGAGGGACTTTCTTCGACTTTCTTCGGTTTTCTTCGGTCTTCGACAGTTCTTCGCGGGAATCTTCAACGAGGGTTTCGACTTGGGTTTTTCTTACGATATTTCTTTACGTTTTGTTCTTCTTTTCTTGTGTACATTCTTTTGACTCTATGTTTGTTATGAACTAAGAACATTTTCTTCTAGAGCAATGAAGCCTTGTATATATTGATTTCGATCGTCATTTCTGTTATCTATTTGTCGTGTTTTGATTTCGTTTATGTTTTCCTGTATTAAATGCTTCTGATTGTGTTGATCAGCTCTCAGATTGATATTAAATAGGAATGAACTCGAGAGAGGATTTCTTGTTTGAAGTTAGAAAAACATAGCTCGGGGTGTGGAAACGGAGACGTGATGCACTTCGGGTAGCCCTTAAGGACTTGGCCTAAATGCTCTCTTAATAGCAGGTTCTGAACGGAGACGTCGGACCTGTGGGTAGACTCTAACTACACTGGAGACGGGGGTTAGAGTACTTTAGCGTATGGGTTAACGAATAGGAATGTGGCGTTAGATAACGGATTTGTAGATCGTTGTTGATTATACATAGGTGGATTTGGCCCTAGAAGTCCCCTTTAAATCAAAGTCCCCCCGCGTTGAGTTGTCGTACTTTATTTACGTACATTCCATATTTGCATGTTTACGATCTTGCATGCTTTTAAATTAGGGTTTATCACCAATCCACTTATTTACGATCGGCTAGATAATATAACGATAATATAATTACACTACTCAGCATTTGAATCTACAAGGTCCCTGTGGATCGATATCCGGAACCACTGTTCTGCAAAATGCGATACCGTATACTTGCGGTAATTTATACGTGAGGAAAACGCGTATCAAGTTTTTGGCGCCGTTGCCGGGAATTGGACATAATCCGTCCAAATTGTGTCGAGCCGTCGACTGTAAAACAGGCGCTGAATGGGAGGCAACCCATTATTTATTTTTTCGTCATTTATTTTGTTAGTTTTCTTTTATTTTGCATTTTTTTTTATTTAAAGCTAGATTTCACCCATTTTTCTTGATTTTTGCCGGTATCTCGTCCCCAAGGAAAGAAGAGTAAGAAGTCGGGAAGTCTAGGCAATTCCGGCAATTCGCCCTCGGTGCCAAAATTGACGGCACCCCGTGCAACCAAATAACACTTTCGCAACCGTAGAACACTGATCAATCTGCGGCACGACTGTTCAGGGCGTATTTCTTTCTCCTTTCTTTTATTTTTCGCATTGAGGGCAATGCATGATTTAAGTTTGGGGGGAGTTTAGCTAATTTTGATTTGGTCTTTTGCATGCATATCATATAATTTAGTTTTATTTATGTATTTCGATTTCCGTAATTGTGTTATGTTTGTCACATGCATTTCATATAGGATCGAGTGTAAGTTGCATTTCCGGATTCTATTGAAGCAAAGCAATTAATGAATTAGTAGATGGGCTAGTTGATTTTAAAATTGAAATTATGGATAACCGGCTAATTATAGATGTATCTTCCGACTGCGTT